CTTACTGAGCATGAAGAAATTTCTTTGATAACGATTTTTGCTATTTCATGCGCGCTATCTACATCGTTGGGTGGCGCAGTCGAAGCCCTATATACTGGTTACCGTTTCCGATAGTTGAAGAAGGAAAAGTGGACAACTTTCTGAAAGTCTGGGAAAAGTTGGTGGGAAGTGAGGAAAAGTTCGAAAGTTAGAAAGTCCCTAAGATGGCAGGTACAATGTGGGAGGAGGGTCGTGTCAGAAGAGGAAATTCGTGGGAGAGGGGTCGTATCTCCCGGAATTTCTCTCCACGAGGCAGGAAGTGCCTCGTGAATAGTAGAAAATGGCGACGGCTAACAAGGACAGCGAACCCTGCGAACGTGCGGACTAACCCTAGGAAGATGAAGAAGATCAATCGATACATATCGTTTGCATTGCCAGGTATGTCTATTCCAAGGGTTTTCTGTAAGTGTTGGTAAAGTAGCCTGAACTTACTACGATCGCCAAATTCTGTATAGTTGTCGACGACAAGAAACGGGAACGGTTCAGCATAGAATTTACCCGGAATAAAGGGTAAACTAGTGTCCATAGATTACCTGGAATGTATCCATCTACAAACGATAAAGAAGGTGTAAACGAATGTGAAAGCTACGCAAAATTCAACTAAAATGACAATGCGAGAGCATTGCGAGACAGGGATATGAAGAATGGAAAGGCTATTAATCACGGCTGCACTTTCAACTGGAAGAGATTTCGCCGTAGGCCTTACTAGCCCACCAGTCAATCCACCTGCCTTTAATTACGCAAGAACAAGCTCCTACCTCTCACGAAGTATCTCAGCTGGCCGCCCAGGAAACTCCGGTCATGGTGCAGTATGTTTTCTTTTGTTTACGCTTTATTTCAATCTGGCTCGGATAGATAGTTCACCGAATGAAAATCCACTTATTTGCAGGGGATTCATTATAATAACCAACAACCAGAAGTGCCCGCGAGTACTGGTCAGCGACGTGGTAGCGTGATGTACGATGCTGCTTCTGATGAAGAAGAAGATGCTGACGACGAGGGCGATGAACAGCTGGATGATGTTGAAGAGGTTGAAGAGGAGGTCGAGGAGGAGACTGTCGCTGAGGAGCCGAGAGCCACACCGGCACAGGTACTCCTGAGTTTGTAGAAATATATCAATAGCATACTTTAAGAACGATGCCCAGGATGGCAAAAGCACTGAGGAATTCTCAGGTTCCTCAGAAGAGCAGGAGGTGTGGAGGGGTCGTAATTGGGTAGGGGATGATTTGCTGCCGTTTCAGTCCCCTGAGCCAGAGCTGTTGCAGTTTACATAAGAGAAGGGGTAACTGTATACGCCCACATGATCAGTGAGGACTGTTCTCCAGGAGTCTATACACCTAAAGCGAGCCTTCACAAAACGTAAATAGCATGTGATAATGTAGTAACCACAACGACCACTACTATTATATTATACCCCCAAGCCCTATTATGGTCCTCATTTCAGTTACCACCTCAACCGCTTCCTCGAACGGAAAAGGCCGTAACACATCAGCGAACAGAGCCGACTGCTCCTTCGACTCAAAGTGCAAAAGCTGCAAAAGCTGCAACGGAGGAACGAGCCCCTACCGAAAGAATTGAGGGCGAGCAAACGATGTTTGTCGCGATGGCTGACCTCCCAGCAAGTGAGGCATCTGATTTGAGCATCGTCGAGGGCGAGCAGCTAAGAATCCTTCAGACAAGGTCAGCTATTCACCTACACTATTCATACTGTATACTTCGTTCTAAGAGCATCATAATTCTCCTAGCTAAACTACATAACCCGAAGATAAAAGGGGCGTAGCTTCACTTGAGCAAGGCGTAGGATGCGTTTTGGGCGCAGTTTGTCGACGGGGGGGGGGCACATTCAGCTTTTCAGACCCATCTAGGTAGCCTTTTCTCGAGTGGACACGTTTTAGGATGGTGGCTAGACGATCTCGGCTAGACATCTTTGCATCTCAGCTTCACAACGTGTTCCAAGTATTTGCCAGGCGCGAGGTTTTAAACCCGGAGCAGGGAGCAGTGGTAGCTACAAAATGCCCGTGGACCGAGCAGCGCCTGCTGCCCTGTTTTTGGGTTGTCTATTTCCGTCGTAATCTGACATCGTTCTCCTCCAGCTTCAAGTGAAGTGCTCAGCCATGCACCCACTCCCCCCTCCCCCCATCTCAGGGATATAGAGTATAACTATTCCGATGTGACCGATATAAAGTTCTGCGTTCTAGACCAGATGGTTGGTGGACGGCAAGAAATGCTAAAGGTGAGGTCGGACTTGTTCCAAAAACCTACCTTCGCCAAGCTCCTATCTCTGAAGTAACTAGAAGTGACACTGGAGGAACCAGAGAAGTAATGTCGATACTAAATAACCTGACTTGAAAGACTAATCGATAAGCGAGAATTTCTCTAAGGTTTCTGGGGCCACAAGAAGTGCTTCTTCTACCATGGGTCGTCCAGCTACTTCACAGTTTACGTCGTTACTCGACCCTAATCAAGTAAGCCTTTAGCGTTTTACCAATTCTGTGATTAGCATTTTCAATGATTGTTGACTTACATCTCCTGTTTATTCTGCTGCGAATTATGGCTCTTTTCCAGCTACCAACTCGCAAAGCTCGTTGTTTGGGCGATGCACAGGAAATGGATCCGCACCTCTCCTTTGCTTGCCATCTAACCCCTCGTCTTAGCCATTCTAACATCGGATTCCATGACTTGTACTGGAATTACCGCGATGACAAGGTAAAGTATGTGTGTGAAAGGTTGCAGGATACCTATTTTTCACACCATAGAAAATTAGGCGCTATTCACCCTTCATGACCAAACTTTTTGAAATTTTGGTCGAAGTCTTGATTTGGAAGCGTAGATCGTCCCGTCTTTACGACATCACCGTGGAACTAGGGCCACGTCAGTGGGGCTGGGTTTGGCGTGTCGTCAGCCCGTTCGCCTTCAGGAAAGCGACAACAATAGGTGGAAAACGACTGCTACAAATTATGTGGTGAAGTCGTGCAGCTTGCTGAGAAAAAGAGAAAGCGTGTTGGCGCAGCGCCAAACTAATCCCCTGACACGCCCTGTCATTCGTACCGAACAAGACTATAGCTATACATTTAGAAAAGTGAATTCGGCGCCTCTTGAAAAATTCTAAACAATCGTAACCCAGCTAGTGACCTTTGAAAAACTTTCCGATTCCACCCTAAGATCTTACAGTGTTTAGCTTCGGAAGCGCCGTGTCCGTGTATCAAAACTGGTACGTTTAGTCCGATTGGAAGGGATGCCGAGAGATGCTGGTGTTTGCTTGGTACGGACCGCTCTCTACGACCGCAGTCGGAAAACTGGCCGACAAATAGTGAGTGTAGCAGATTCTGGAAGGTCCATGACTTTTTCGGAATGTGTGGTGAAAGTTATTATATCTGCGAGAATTTTTACAGGAGTAATGTGCATTACGATCAAAGCCGATGTCAAAAATCTCTACTTGACGTTCACACCAGGCGTAAAGCTAAGCGTTCCTTGGTTTTTTATGATGACTAAGCACTTACTTGAGCGTAGTTTGGCCTAGTGGGGTCATTTCGCTGGTTTCCTGTCGATCACTGCTCGCCACTTGTGGAAACCTGTAAACTCCTGTTAGCTGTGTAATTGGAGGAGCTTTGTCTGCACTTGACAGGAGCCTACAGATCTCACCCAAGGTGTGGCGTGTGATTCTGCAGGAACAGCAAAAGCAATTAGCGGAAGTGTAGAATGCCCCTACTAAGACGAACAGCGCCCTTACCTCAGTTGTTTTGGTGACTGTAGAAAGTTAAGAGGATTTCGATTTCAGACGGACACAGCGTCTTCTGGAGTTGATTACGGTGATTTTATCGTCCGTTCTAATTACAACATGGCTGATGTGGTGCTGTTGATTGAGGCATCGCACGTTATTCAGACTCAGGTCGGTACAATTCGAACCTCCTCCCTGCTGTTCTATAAACCAAGGAGAATGTTTCCTTTTCTGCCCTTTGGGCAGAAGCAGCGCTTTCCATCGCTCTCTCTTCACCACGCTTTCTCCTGAAGTTGATGCAGAGATCCGTACTGGAGGATGGTCACCAAAACGCTTCCAATCCGAGAAGTTCTGCCTTCGAAGTTTCTTTTCCAAATGAATGACAAAATTGCCAGGAAAACTAACGTGGTTGAAAATTGTCTGCCGTGCATTGTAGATCCTCGGACTCCTTGTTCCCCAAGGAGCGTCTTCAAGTAACGCCTCTGATTTTTTGCCCACTGTAAGTCACCTTCAACAACCTCTATTACGAGCTGTTGGAGGGAGGAAGGTCCATCGGTTCCTATTCTGCTGACCCTGTGCGGATTCCCATTGTTTTAACCGAGAGCACTTTCCGTTGCTGGCCGTTTGAGCCGGATCCAGCCTCTAACTGCCACCTTCTGACGGGTCTCCTTTGCAATGGTATTTTACGGCCCTGTTAGTGCTCCTCTCCTGGCTCAGCCAGTAAGCAGCAAGGGTACGCCAAGGAAACAGGTGTAGTGGTAGGCACGCTCTACCCACTCGACAAGCGTGGTGTGTGCCACCAAAATTGCCCAGTCTCCAATTATTTCTGCTTCACTTTCATCTTTTTTTATCGTCCGCCGAATTTCAGGCTGGATATGAGGAGCGAAGCCTCGGTATTCTGACCATAGACCTAATTGCCAAAGGAGAGGTCGTTTTCAACAATAAGTAGGTGTTTTTTGGAGATTAGAATATTGTTTTCGGTAATTTGGAGGTAGAATGTAGCATCTTCTCTTCAGGACCTATTCTGAAATGCTTCGAGCTGAGAACATCTTTGACAGGACAACGAATGGTGCAGCAGCCACACCGCACAAAATCGTGCTCAAGTGCTTTGACGTGCCAAAGAGTTGGTCCCACTTGTCGAGTAAGTCCATTCAAACTTCACGAACTGTTTCGGGAATTTGCGTCATTTCACATTCCCCATTAATCCACATATGACCCATCAACCATCGAATTTTAGACTAAATTTGTGTCGAAATTCGCTCTCAGGGGTAAATTTGGTTTGCAAAATTTTTTTGCCGGCTACTACATTGACCAGAAATATCGCATTCGTGCTAGCACGAACCCGCGCGCGTGGGCTAGGATCTTGGCTCCAAAAGCTCCAATCAGCAGAAAAATTTTTCCATGCTTATAATAGTTGAGCAAGTCGACCGTTGCGCTTTCCCCTATGCCCCTCCGTTCACTGAAAAATTGTTGGTGCTCTGGTTCAGCAGTGAGGGAAGGGGAGGAAGGAGGAAAGCGTGTGTCCGAGTTTTGCTAGTTTCCTTACTCGTCTGACCTTATACGTCTGATCTCAAGTGCAAACAGCTCGTACTATTTCGTGGCTTTTCATGTCTCCGCAGGAGGCGTCGGCAATATGCGATGGGAACTGGAAAAATGCCAATGCCAAGCCGAGTTTGCGCCGATTATTCGTATGGATATTTCGATCCCCTGAATAACGAACACCACACTTGTTTACGGCAAAAAGTTCTACCGGCGCCGCCACGACGCAAATTTCTAGTTAAATTTGTATCGAGGTTCGGACCTAGGGTTCGAAGAAGTTAAAGAGAAGTGCACAAGCCAATTGCAAACAGCGGCTAGTGACAGCAGTAGATGCCTTTGTCTTTCAGTTCGTATCGCTGGACGTGCTTTATTTTCAATCCGATGTTTGTAAGGCTGTACTTCTATTTTCGACGGTTCGCCGGCATTTCGCTCCTACGCGATCGGGACAATCATCTCAGTGCAGGTACTCCTTGGAAACATTCCAATCAATGATATGGGAACTCTTCACGGTACAAAGGTTTTTTCCCTGCCCTTCATGAGGCAATACGCCCGCAGCTGTGGAGTAGTGGTGTCTTCACCCAAGTTGCACGGAAAAGGATGTAGGCACTTGGTTACGGAGTGCCGCGATTATGTCCAAGGCACAATTACTTACATTATACTGAGTTCTCGCAGCACTAGGGAACAAGAAAAAGTGAGAGAGTTCAGACAAACAACGCGTCTGGCTATGGCTGGGCGCCTCTCTGGCCAGTATGGCGTCGGCCGTGCGGGCATCACTATCGTCCATCCTCGTTCCCGTGCACTTTTGACCGGACAAAGTACCAACTGCGGCTGCGGACCTATTCTTCCTGACACACGATTAGGATCCACGGAGGTAAGGTCCTCAGTGAGCTACATAGAGTTCACATCGTCGTGACATACAGTGGTCAAAAGCAGTCACGAGAATGCTTCTATGTGGTGAGACTGCAGGGAAATATACTCCTTATCCCTGAATCGGGGTAGGCGTGGCATTTGAACACGGCATAGGATGGCTTACTCGTGGGGTATTTCAACTCGAGACAACTGCCATCTTGTTCTATTGTGGACAGAGACGTGACCACAATTGTTTCAAAATGAAAATAGTCACCAGAAGCACAACCACCGCCACGTTTAGTTGAAGTACGCACCACGCCTACCGCATCCCAGTGGATTTCGAGTGTACCTGCTTTCGCAAGTCCAATCTGTCATTGCAGAGATGGTGGCGGACCCTTTGCTAGCGCTATTCCCTTCAGTAGCTGATGAACCCGACCTGATGGATCAGTTGCGCAATTTATGGAACACAAAATTAAAAAGTGATGAAGAATGTGAGTCCATTTCTCTAACCACGTTTCTTATTCTAGTAATTCGCGAAAGATTTCTGAAAGTTGTTAGCTCCCTGGTGTGTGCAAAGGTCAACTAAAAAAGCGTTCCAGAAACCTGAGGCTGATCAAGCGGACTCCTTTCTTCGATTATTTATGAGTACCACTTACTGTGTCCACAAAACGGCTGTGATGCCACCATATCGTATCTGGGACACGAAGGCTCTTGGTATACGCCATCAGGTTTGTTGTAGTCGCTTTTACCGATTGTCCACAGATTGTCTACCTTTCTGGAGACGCGCCAATACTCGACCTTTGCCTAAAAATTGTGCCGTTGTTACGAATGCATGTGTTATCCTACGTGGTACATAGAACAGTTAAGCGGACAAGTTTTGGGGGATCACGACCGCCTCAGAATTATATGGCTTTGATTATGGGTTCGATGAGGCAAAGGGGCGCTGTTCCGTTTGGATGGCATTTTGCACTCCCGCTAGTTTTTTTTTTTAATTCCTGTTTCTGTGATTAATTAAATTCCACCTTTGCAAGGCCTGTAGACCACCTGTCAAGCGGAACGGAACTCCGTGTCTTGCGTGTAGCTTAGGGATTTTACAGGTCTTCACAGCTTCAGAGAGTGTTTTCGATGAACGAGTAAAAATGCCCCCACCAAGACGAACTGCGCTGCCAAAAAAGCATAGGCCATTTTCTCCTTGAAAACGGACGGCTTGTGGAGGGGGCAGCTTTAAAGCGCAGCCATGGCAGGCTTTTCCACCACTTGCTGCGGGATCAGAATGGCATCAATCAAAAGAGAAGGCCACCCTGGTGTGGGCGCCAGCCCACCCCTCCAAACGCCATCCCGTTTACAGGGATAATGGGACTGCTACATGCCTTGTAATGTCGTGGACAGCAGCTTCACAACTTGAGAAGTTGGCCTACAATGGTTACAAAGAGATTAGTTGACAAATAGAATTTGTAACAGTAGCAGTAACAATTGTATAGTCAGCGTAGGAACCCTCTTGAGAAGCTCCTTTAAAGGCATATGACACGATAATTTGGTACTCGGTCTTAAAATTCTAGCAGGGTGCCTTATTAGAGCGAAAAAGCACGCGAAAAAACGAAGTGACCGGTCAAAAACCTTCGAAGAAAACCTTCGTTTCTTAATGACTAAGAAAGCAGTTTTAGACGAGTTCTCTGCCTAGCATCGAGCAAGAACACATACGGCCTTGCACGTATGTATCCGCCATACCCAATATCCATGCCAATCACCGCGACCCGCATATCAATTCCCTTCGCTTTATATTATTACCGTAGCAAATAACAGCGATACTGAGCGTCAAGGAACGGTCGGTCCATTTGTGGGCGGGCGCCGCTTGGTGGGCGTCCGGCGTCGGAATTTGCAGCTTTTAAAGCCTATTCGGTACTTCCTTTGGAAAGATGCAACGGCTTTGCTCAGGAGTGCGGAATTCCGTCCTGCCAGGCGTATTAATCCCACTCGTCTTATTTCTCGTGTATTTACTTATCGTGCCAACTGCCTCTAATAATCTTTTGCTTCTGCAAAGCTGCACAGTTTTAGTCGGCTCTTGTTTCTATTCGGGAACAATCAATCCAGCCTTCATTTGCTTCCAATCTGTACCCATCATTATCAATATATCACCTGAGTACCGTACCTCTCTTTATCAAATCGCCACCGCTCTATCACTTTTTCGTCTCAGGCCTAGCGCTTCATCATCCTGTGACGTTTTCTCATCAATCACTTCCCATCTGTGCGCTACCAATTTCGCTACTATTACCTCCATATCTCTTGTATGAGCAATTTCTCTCAGCTGCCTCCCGTAGTGAGGTGTTTGCAGTAGCCAGACAGTAACCAGTTGGAAGTAGGCAAGACTGAATTGAAGATTCGAAAAGAATTAGCGCATTTTTAAAAGGGCTTCTGTCCCTGGTCGGGTTACCGATAGAAATGAACATTGAGATGAAGGTTAACCATAAGATGATAGTAGGCTACGAACAAAGGGGTGTGGTTCATGAAGCTGGGTTTGGCGCCCACCAGACCGTTCATGCACCAGTGGGTTGAAGCGGTAGTGGTAACAATTGGTAAAGAACTTTTGTGTCTTGTAGCCTGCGCTGAAAGAAAACAAAAGAGAACGGGCCGGCGCCGCGCCGGAACCATCCTCCTGGACACGCCCATCATCTACGGTGAACAAGAGTAGGCTCTAATACCAGTCCACGCTTAGCGTATGGGCGGAGTCAGTTCTGCCATTGTGCCTTCATCATCGATAGATCCCTTACTTCGAATTAGGTCGAGGCAAAGTTGCCTTAAGTGAAGGCCACAGCGGTAGGCCCGACTCCGCCCACGGAGGTGGTGGGGGACTGTGCCTTCCAAGCACGTATCAGGCGGCATCTGCGATTCTTAGTCGAGTACGATGGCTCATCCGTTATTCAGAATTAACAAAATCACCGAGCAATCTGTGCCCCTGTACTGTACTGATCGTTGTATTGTTTCGGAACACTATTTCAGATACTGAAAAAATGCGAAGATATGCTTCGTGAACATCGAAGTCCGTCACGTTTTCTGCTTACCGAGCCGTGCCATCCAATCAACGTCTACGATTATTCGTTCGATCTCCTCGGACGTCATGCACTCGACTGATACCCCTTCAGTTTCAAATTTCTTTCCTCTATTGAGATATATGGAAGTAATTCAACTTTTTTTTACCCCTGAAAGAGGGTATTTCAGGAGGCCTACCTTGCTGCGACACGCGCAATTTAGGTCATTTATCCGGCAGTAGCAAATGAATCGCATCCGGGCTAAGCAATCCGTGCTGATGCCGCGCTTTTGTGTCCGAAACCTGGCTTCCAGAGATTCTAGACAAATTGCATGGGCAGGGTTCAAGAACTTTATTGCTCGTTACTTACAGGGTTACGGATTATGATTCGAATTCTTTGCCCCTCTCAGACTCGAACGTGGACCCTGCTCTTATCGGGGTATGCTGCACTAATTCGTTTATGCACCGAGCGCAGCGCCACAACTGCTCGATTATTATCCACCATGGCTGATTTATTACCCGCCTCGTTCACATTTATTGTCAGCAAAAAAGGGCGACCAAACTCTTTTTCCGATTTTTTTTCCAATACACTATTTAGAGGCCTTCTTCAAGACAATGTTGTTCTTATTAGAACTTCACATTACCGGGTATTACGATTCGAAGAGGAACTTTTGAGGCTGCCATTGCCCGAGCATCGTGGGCGCTATTCGGCTTGGAGGGGCATTCTGCATTTTCGCTAGTCCCCTCTCGCTAGTACGCCCCTTATCTCTGGGGCGGAGTAGGCGTGGCATTTGGACATGGCATGGGATAGGTTACACGTGGGATATTTCAGCTTGAGACACCATCATCTTGTTCAGTGTAAGATAGGCAATTAGAAAAAACCACAACTGTTGTGTGGAATAATATTCTCTCGAAAAAGCGCAGCTTAGTTTGAAGTATGCAGCCACGCCCCCCACATCAGGGATTTCAAGGGTTACGTTTATTGACAAAGCAGTTTTAACACTGTAACTCTTGAGAAGCCATTTAGGTACAAGAATTTACCAGGTTCACAGGGTGGCTTGATACAAGCTTCCGCACTGAAGTACCTTTCAGGGCCCCACAGTACCCTCTCGTCACCTGGGTATTTAATTGCAAGTTCAGGTGCATTCATCATTATCTCTGCCCTAATAACCATCCGTGTAAAAATAGAAATATTTCTCTCTAAGGCGCAGCCACCGTCGCGCTTAGTTGAAGTACGCAGCCACGCCCACCACAACTCAGGGATTTCAAGGGTACCTATTGACAAAACAGATAACACCTGTAAACTCTTGAGAAGCTGCGAAGTGATAAAAGTGAGCCACTTTAGGTACAAGAATTTACAGGTGTTCACAAGGTGGCTTGTACAAGCCTCGATGAGTACCTTTTAGGGCCCCACCAAGCCGAACTGTACCCTCTCGTCGGGGGCGTTTAATCGCAAGTTCAGTGCATTCATCATTATCTCTGCTCCAATAATAACTATCCATGCATCACATTCCTTTGACTAGCATCGCCGCTTTACTGGTATTCCTCTTGTGGTTGGGTGGGAGAAATGAGCGTCCCGGACATCGAGCGATCTCTTCCGCCACTGATACGCAGTCCCGTTTTTTTCGCTCATCTCAGCGAATCTTTTTCTACTAGCGGCGCGCACGGATCGCAAAAGACAAAGGCGTACGACGTTCGCCACGGATTTGGGTCAGACGAAAACACGATTCACCCTCCACGTCGACGATGACGATGAAAATTTTGTTCAAAAATTCAAATTTCTCTCCAAAATGGACTCTTGTTTGCTAGCCTGGCGCCGACACTGAAGTACTCTTAATTCCTCCACTAAAGCAAAATTGGGCGCGGTTCGGCTTGTGAGAGAGGGCATTTAACATTTCGCTGCTTCCCGTTGTCGTTTTTATTCTTTTTCAAGTTTTGACAGGTATTCTTACAAGAATTGACATGTAGTTTCTGCAAACTCTGACTGGTATCACTTCATGGCTTCACAAGTTTTTACCAATCTTTACATGATGGCTAGCCACGACAACTGGAAGTAGCCAGGCAAAATGCTCCCCCTCCCCCTTCCCGCGAGCCGACCTGCGCCCAAAATTATGTGGAAAAGAATACTGCTCTGAAGCACCGGTAGCTCCTCCCTCTTGAGTATATGATTATTACTGGTATCTATAAGTCAATTATCCTTATCCTTTATCTATAAGTATTAACTACTTTAATTCTAGGATTTCATATTGTTCAATTGTTGCTCAGACTCCGGATTCACTTTGAAATTAGGTTTTCACGTGAATTTCTCTACTTCTTAGGGTTTTGTATGATCTTCTCAGTCGCAGGTAAATAGCAGTTGTTGTCGTTTGTATAAAAATGACGAAGAAAAATTAAATCTACCAAACCCGTCATTACTACACCGAGTTGAAGGGAAAGCGAAGGCCTAACGAAGAGTGGAACTAGGACCCCTTGCACTTTGTGGGTTGCGGGTCACTACACCACTCGGGAAATCTTCGCTTCTAAAGTCCCCAAAAAGAACCGATCGTCGGTAATCGCCCGAAAAGGTGCTGAACTGGGCTATTTCGAAATACCCCACGGAGCACAGCGTTCTAAAGGCTTAGCGCGATAGATTTTTACCCGATTTCGGTCCACTTACGGGTAAACTCGTCAACTAAACAAGTTATTTCTGCGGTATTGATACAAAAACCCCCAAGTGAGAGCCCCCAGTTCTCGAGCTTTTTTGAAGGCATGAGAAACGTAAGGATCCGGGATTGTGAGCGTAACCATTTGGTGATCCAGTTAGTTAAAGTAAGTTAAGAGGAGTAGGTTAAGAGGGGCTGAGAAGAGCGGCTTTTAGCTCGAATCACGAAACTTGCGGCCCAGGGGCTTGCATCTTCCTTTTCGTTGAGTCCGAGGCTAAGACCAAGAGTGTGCTGGAGCTGGAAGATCAAGGGAGTACGAGCGGTAGTGACCATGTCGGCCGATATCAGTAATTCTCGCTCTTAACTACTTCCCATAGCGATGATAATCATCGAGAGTGGAGAAAGCCGGTTGACGACGACGACGTCAAGCTCGACTCGTACCGTATCACTTTCCACGAGAGCGCTACGTCTCCGCGATTGACACGCTCTCTACACAGGGTCAGACCACGCCTTCAAGATCGTACTATAAAAGCGGTGGCGTATTTCTGGATAAGCAGAGCCGCATGGATCTCAAGGAGACGGAGGAGCAGCGTCAGATGCGACGCATCGCGTTCGTCGCGGTCGTCGTTTCGACGGCAGCTGTGATCGCCAGTGTCGTGACACTGCCGATGCTCTACAACTATGTACAATCATTCCAAAGTCATCTGATGGTTGAAACTGACTACTGCAAGGTAAGCCCCCCCCTTATTACTTACCAATAGTTATTTACGTTCCATTTTTTCCTATGTCAGGCTCGTTCCCGAGATATGTGGCTAGAAATGACTGCTCTGCAAGCTGGCAAAGGCATGCTTCACCGACAAAAGAGGGCCTGGTTGTTTGGACAGTGGATTCCTGAGGGTGGCTCTGGAGGAGGCGGTAATCTTTCCAACATTTCCCATTTTTTCTTGTTGTTGCGGTCCCTTAGGTTATGCTCGTTGCATCATTTATTTTCCCTCATTTATCACAAAATTTTCTAGGTCCAAGCGGTAACGCTGCTGGATACGGTGGCTATGGAGCAGTTGTTAACTCTGAACCAGCACCCACATGCTGTACCTGTAACCAGGGAGCCGCTGGACCACCAGGACCAGAAGGACCACCTGGAAATAACGGAAAGGATGGTCGTAATGGAAAGGATGGAAAGAATGGAAAGGATGCTGAACTGCTTGCAGCTCCACCAAGTGAGCCATGCATCATCTGCCCAACTGGTCCACCAGGACCCATGGGTGCAATGGGAGCCAAGGGACCACCAGGACCTAAGGGATCTCCCGGAGAACCACCCAAGGATGGTGTTGCTGGTGAGGACGGTATGGCTGGTCAGCCTGGACCGATCGGAAGACCGGGACGCGATGGAATGAAGGGAGCACCAGGAGCTAACGGTCGACTTATCCCTGTTCCTGGACCACAAGGACCCCCAGGAAAGCAGGGACCCCCTGGACCTCCAGGACCCAAAGGAAATCCAGGTCCAGACGGACAGTCGTATCAGGTTAGTTCGACATTGCACCTTTTTCTTCCTTTCTTCCTATGCACCGTAACTGATGCGAAGTTTGATATGTGAATCTTTTAGGGCCCTCCAGGTCCTCCTGGAGATCCAGGAAACTCCGGACCCGAGGGACGACCCGGACCCAATGGACCACAAGGACCTCCCGGACAGGATGGAGAGAAAGGAGACTGCGGTCACTGCCCTGGTAAGATTCCTTCCTTTGTGAAGAATTTGAGGACAATCACAAAGTTCGCCATTTACAGCTCCTCGCACACCTCCCGGCTATTAGAAGTCTTCTGTGCAAGTCCTACTGGACACGCCCCCAGCGGGTGCAAGCGTTCATGCATCTATTCGTGTACAATAATAAATGTTTGCTCAATGTCTTTTCATAAATACTGGCTGGACAAAGTTTGATTTTCGCAGGCGGTCGGGTAGAAAGGGTTTTCTCGACCTTCCCGACAACAATAACCGGCTGTTGGTGCCCGAAAAATCGTGTCATGAAAATGCGTGGCGATGGACAAACCCTAAAAAAACCGAAATTCCTAAGGTGAACTCGATTCGCACTGGATAAGGAGGTATCGCCAATACTCGGGATGAGACTGAACGGGCGATTTTCTTTCGCGTTCCTCCACGGAAGCCGACTCATATCTTCCGGGCTTTCAGTGAATGGAATAGGGAAAGGGCCCTGGAGTGGAGGGGAAGGGATTATTAACCGCTCGACTATTAATAGAACCCCTCAGCAGGTTTATGCAGTAGTTGATCCACTAGCAATGTAGTGAATTGATCTGGGCCCTGATCTAATGAACTATTGCGGGAACCAGGTCACTGGAACACATTTATTTTTCTGAGAAGAAAGATTACTGAACTTTGAGAAGAAATGTATTACCGAACAAAGGGGGTCACTGAAAGTAGGAACATCGTGTCCATTCGATACTCACGGGTTCGCAGGAGTTTCGCCATCCTTCCACCCGTCATGGTATATCAAAATAAAAAAGAGTTAAGATTATAAACGGGGTTTTTAGCCGCACAGCATGGAAAAAATAAATTATGCATGATTTTCTAGTGAAAAATGAGGAGGGGAAGGGGGTG